TATCACATGGCTTCTCCAAAAAAATTTCATATGCTATTCGTAAGGTGCCAGAAGCAAAAAAAGAGTGTCCCGAGTAGCCCTGTCGAACGGGGCTAATCGGGACATTTGGAATAAAACTTCATTTTAAAACATTTGAAGCATGCAAAGTGTACTCATCCATTACTAACACTACTCTGAAGTCCTCCTCTTTCATTGTAGATGATGTAGAGGTAGAATAAATGACATTTTCTGTGATTTTTACTTGTTTTTCCTTTATTGATATGATATTACCATATACATTAATTACCGTATTATTGATGCGATATTACCGTATCCATGAACATGCCATTGAGCATTCACAACAACCTTGTTCACTGCAAGCTTCATATCAGCAGCCTTATAGCATTTTTTCTGTATCTGTAAGCTTACATGACGGCTTGTAATTTCACACCATTTTAATTGGGTTAAGTGAATTTACTATAAAAAAAAAATCATGAAAAACATACCTGAAACAAAGGAATGTTTCAGTGACAACCATCATATGTTTTGGAGAAATAAATCATAGTTTAGATCAATTACTTTTCATTCTATGAAGCCTGGTGCACAATTCTATATATGACATTCTATGCACAATTTTGTAATGATCGATGATGCACTAATTTTTGATAAGTGAAATTTTTTCCGCTGAGCGTGGTAAATGTAATCAATATTCTTTGTTTTAATAATTTTTTTCTTAACTGGAGTCTTTGCTAACTCAGATTCTACTGTAAATGCGTTTTTGAGGGTGTCCCGAATAGCTCCAGGGGGGGTGTCCCGAGTAGCCCCGCCATGCGGAAATGGCCGCCATTTTTTTTTTTGAGTGAGGTATTTAAATTCCGCAAATAAAGTTTTCATGCTGAAACTTGTCTGCCACTTTTTTCTAAGCAAAATTTTTTAATATGGCAAATATTTTTTTTACTACAGACCTTAGCAGAAGTAACTTTTCAAAATATCGTTTTTCACCATTTTTTCAGGAATTTTTCAAGGCTAGTATATGTAGTATTTTTGAACTTCCTTTATAGTACTACATAGATAGGAAAAATGTTGACATATACGCCACTATATTTAGTTTTGCAATATTTCAATTAGTTTTGTTATTAAAACAGTTTTATGCCGTGTTGGAGGACTGTCCCGAGTTACCCCACCCATCCCGAGTAGCCCCAGTTTACGGTAGTGACTGCCTCATGAATGTGAAGAGTGCTGCTTTTTCCTCTTACAGCAAATTAACCCTAATCTCCTTCAGAGTCACGCCCGTAGGAGGTAATTTTTTTCCTGTTTCTGCGTGATCAGAGTAGAACTTTGTTTTAGCTATTGAGTCCAAAGAAGCTGCCCCCCCCTCAGGCTGATTGGATCACATGGGGACAATTCTTAATGGGGGAAATGGGGACAATTCAACAGAAATAGCATTGTTGGTTATTACTACCAACTGGGTTGGGAATGCACTGACAATGTCCAATTTGATTCTTCCCTGTTTATACTGCAGGTTAAAAAAATCATGTTCTTGAAATGTGTGAAGTAGTTGAAATAGATCATGTTATCAAAGTTAATTGGGTGTAAATTCCTTCTATTACGCTTAGGAATGTATTTAAAAATATTTTGTGGTCATTTGTTAAGTTATTGAAAACTCTGTGAGCTTTTCACTCACAAGAAAAATGCCCCTTATCAAGAACATCACTGCCATCTCCTACTCATCCCAGGTATGTCTTGTGAACTTGACTGAGCGAACTGCTTCTGCCATGAATTTTGTCATCTTTTTATTGATCTTTGTTATTTCCCTGTGCCATCTTTTCATCTATTGTTACATGTTGCTTATCTGGTATTTTGGACGAACTTAATTTTGTGGGGCAATACTAGTAAATCTCAATACTTGACAGCTTAATTGGCAATTATTATTTTGAGTTAATGCTATCTTTCTTGCCCAATTTCATATGCCATGCAAGGCTTTCCTGCTAGAGGTATATAGGGCTTTCCTGCTAGAGGCCCTTGTTAACCACCATTCCTGATGTGGAAAATGAATTTCATTGCTGTAAAAAAGAGTACAGTATAGTGCACAGCTAGAAGCGTAGGTGCACTTATTATGATTCTCGATTTTGAGAGAGAAGATTGAATGGTGTATGAGGAACTGGTGGAGAGTGGATTGCAGTGATGTGGATTTATCTGAGGCAGCAAATGTGACTGTATTATAAAGTGCCAAGTGATATTTGAAGAGTTTGTGGAGGATGGAAGTGAGGAAGAGGATGTCAAAAGCAGGGTTGGAAATGATTAAATCAAAATGATTAAATCATGTGATTAAATCACTTGATTTTTTTATAAAAAAAAATCACGATTTTTTTTATTTTTTCGATTTTTTTTTTTTTTTTATTTTATCATATATTTAAATATATTGAGTGTCGGTCTTTAATTTATATTGAGGTATTGTTATTCATGGTTTAGTATAAGTGTACTATGAATGACAAATTGGTATATAAACTTGTTGCCTTTAGGGTGTATTAGGTTCCAATAAATTGAATGTTTTTGGTACAGAGGCATCAAGTGTGCAATACATTGAACGTAGCTAGCAGCTTAGCTAATTCTTATGAGGCTATAAGTAGTCTTTAACTATTTGACTATTTGTTATATATTGATTACAATATACAATTTAAATATGTTAGCTAGCTTATACAGGGTGGGGCAGAACTGATTGAACAGTTTTGAGGCAAAATAAAAGAGTAATGGAGGTTCATAAAGAAGAAAGTTTATTTTCCTCGAAATTAGCATAACATACCATTTAAAATGCTTATGTTTTGAAAACAATATCAGGAAGATGGTGTTTGTTAGCTGCATCACACTGTTAGTCATTCCTGGAAGTTTCCTGCAGCACGTTCACACATATGGCGAGGTATGGCATAACCTCTGCTGCGATAATCTGTTCCCTTAGCTGTGGTAGGGTGTGAGGGCAACTTCTTAACACCTTTCTTTCAGATGTCCCCAAAGAAAGAAATCACAAATGCTCAAATCAGGTGATCTTGCAGGCCACTGTTAATCACCCCTCAGAGACACCAGACGTCTGGGGAACATGTGTTTCAAAACATTGAGTGACATTCGGGCTGTGTGAGCTATAGCCCCATCCTGCTGGAACCGCACATTTCCCTATGCTTCATTATCAACAATGTTTTCCATCATGGGCTGCAAGAAATTTTGCATCATTGCAGCATAGCGATTGGAATTCACTGTTACGGTTACTCCCTCCTTTGAGAACGACTCCAACAGTGTGTTGCAGCTAACGGCCCCCATCTTCCAGATATTGTTTTCAAAACATAAGTATTCTAAATGGTACCTATGTTATGCTAGCCTCTAGGAAAATAAACTTTCTTCTTTATGACCCTCCATTACTCTTTTATTTTACCTCAAAACTGCTCAATCGGTTCTGCTCCACCCTGAATAGTGAGAGGTTGCGAGTGTATTGACCTTTCAGGCAATTAGAAAGATTTTCCACCCTAATACGAGTATTCTAATTAAAATATGTAATTTCAATCCTTAAATATGTGAATTAAAAACTAGAAACAAAAGAATTACAATTATAAGACTATATACAAAATAATTAAATGCAGTGAATGGATATAAAATATTTTAATTGTGCACATGTTTATTTCAAACAGTGTTAGCTTTTCTCATAACTTAAGTCTCGTTTCAAGTCGTATGAGGTTTGTTTAGTTATCGTTCAGTTTATGTTAAGTATTGGTTTATTGGTTTGAATTGAATGGGAACAGTGCAGTCAGTCACTCAGTCACTACTAGTCGGTGTGTATAGAGGGTGGTAGAGTCTGGTAGATTTATAGGACATAAAACTAGTAGATCTATTGAGAGTGTTGTGCACTGTGCTATCAGATACCTATCTGTTGTGTGACTCTTCAATGTTTAGAAGATCTGCATTCCTGAAGGGTTTTTGTATATTGAAGCCAGTTAAATAGTCAATATTTAGCTCATTACCTTGCTCCATACAAACTTTACAAAGCTAATGAATAGACTTGTCAATAATTGTTTACCCAAAAATCCCTAAGTGGTAAACACCACCTTGGCCTGTTGGCCATTATTGAAGGCAATAAGTGCCCTTTTTAGCCATCCATTATGATCCATATACGGTTATTGTTAGTAGGCTAATTGCAACATAAAAAATAACACATCAAAAAGACAAAAAAGCTGAAAAAAATCAAATAAATCAAATAAATAAAAAAAATCATGAAAAAATAAAAAAAAATCATTGATTTTTTATTTTTTTTATTTAAAAAAAAATCACCAACCCTGGTCAAAAGTGATGAAAAAAAATAAAATAAATGTGTCTTAAGAGCTATGTTTTTCCATTTTTTTTATTTGAATTGGTTTGAATGAATTTCTGTGCTGCATGGCTGACAGATCCAAGTGTCTGACAAGAGATTAACTGGAACATCAAATTACTCTAATTCCAGAGCCAAGTTAGTGATAAATACCTCCCTTGTTTGTCTTCCTGAATGCAACAACTAAATTTTAATCAATTATTTCTTTTTGAACAATGCTTGACAGTGTAAATGGGACAAACTGTGAGCACTAGACAAGAACAAATTGTGGATGTATCATGTATAAGTAGTATATAATTGGGGGAACAATAGAATCTTATAGATTTATTTAAATTATGTCCTGAGTACCTTTGTAGTTTAACACTTTTGTTTGGTACCGTAAAATGGGGTAACTTTGACCACTTTTTTTTCGAAATGATGCCATTTTTTTACTAGGTAAGTTAAACTTAAATTGAAACATGCAAAATACAGGTCTATACTCTAGCTTTACTCACCATAAATTGCTGGCTCCTGCCTCTCATAGTTTTGATGTAATTTAAAAAAAAGTGATGGTCTTTGTTACCCCAGCTCTTGGGGTTTCTTTGACCGGGTGGTAAAATCAATTTTATTTTTTGGTAAAATAACTCCAAATAACTCCAGGTTGTGGTGCATTGTAGTAGAACTCATCTAGTTACATATGCAAAAGACAAATTTTAGGAAAGTGTCATAGTTTGCAAATGGGGGGCACCGATCCTCAATGGGCGAAATGTGACCAGTAATGGCAGCCGTGACGGGGTAACATTGACCGGTTTGGAAATTAAGTTAAAATTACCATATATAAGACTCTGTAGAGTCTGAAACATAAAGAAAAAAACATTAATAGGTGTATCAAACATAAAATATGTTATATAGGTACCTACCTATGATAATTTTAACTTAATTTCCAAGCCGGTCAATGTTACCCCGTCATGGCTGCCATTAGGTAGTCAAAGTTCCCCCATTGGGGGGTGGCGCCCCCCATTTGCAAACTATGACACTTTCCTAAAATTTGTCTTTTGCATATGTAACTAGAAGAGTTCTACTACAATGCATCAAAACTTGGAGTTATTTTACCAAAAAAATAAAAAAATTGGAGGGGGTACACTGACAGGCTTTAAATAATAGCTCTTTTTCGTGGGTCACATTATTAATTTTTTAACCTATTAGATATGCAAATTTTTTAAATCTTTCTATTGTGTTACGTAGCCTCAGTATTAAGCCTTTGATGGCCATTGACAAAATTTGTCTATGTCAAATGGTTTTTGAGTTTTGGGGGTTTTTGTTACAAAAACGAAAAGTGGTCAAAGTTACCCCGCCGGTCAAAGTAACCCCATTTTACAGTATCAGCTTTGACATTATTATAAAATCTTTTGCTCAATCATGTTGAAATGTGATCATTGCATTTGTTGAGTTAATTGTAATTTGTAATTCTAAATGCATATGGACCAGATAATTCTCTGATAATACATGTAAATTACTTTTAAAGTCATTGTGTAATCAAATGTTAATGAACTTATTTTATCCCAAAGTTTCTTGAAGCCTTGTTCAAAAACTTATGATGCCTGACAGGATAGCAAGCACCCATTGTCTGGGCTATTAAGTGGCTCGGGTTCATGGCTGTGTGCTGCCGATGACCGCAGCGGCCAACTCACTGCAGACCTCCAACTGGATAGAGCTCTCACCATCTCCTATATTGATGTTGGTATGTTGCTCTTTGCCATCTCATATGTATGTTGATGTTTATCACCATAACCCATGTTGAAGTTGGTTTGTAGCTCATTGTCTTTTGATAATTGTTTATATCCCCCACAATCCCCCACATTGTTTAAATGTGGTATTACCATTTTAATAATGATGTTGATGACTGGCCACCGTCATCTTGAGTGTTGCTTCTCTTGTTGTTCACAGGCCTCACACAGCTCTCATGATATTGGATAGGCAACAGCTTTACTTAAAATAAAGACAGAAAGCCATATCTGTTAAACTAAGAATGTATACTGTGAATAGAAAACTTTTTATTTTTTTTTAATCTTCATTAAAATTCATTTAAATGATGCCCAGATGCATTTCAACTGCAATACAAGTGGATGGGAATAAAAGATGTTGCAGAACAAACATAAAAACCAAACATGACAATGGGTGTTACCTATTCCAAAAAAGTATGCAACTAAGAACAGTTGAAAAATCTAAGGAAACATGCAATAACAAATTTCCTCCACTTCAGAAAGCTAATAGAACTGACATATAATTATTTTGAAACTTCAAAAAATATGGGCTGAGCCTGGAGCAAACATTATCATATTAACATGTAATATTGAATTAATGTCTGCAGATAGTTTATAATATTTTTCCTGAGTTTGACTATAAAAAAGTAATATTTGTTAGTGCAAAGTTCTTTGTTTGCGCAAAATTTAAAAAAAAAATTAAAAGAGAAATTGTCATTTTAATTGTAGAAAAATATCAATAATTATCAAATTTGCTCACAAGTACCTTCTAAGGGTGGTTTGCACATGGCTTCTCTGTGAGTGCAGCAACACTTCCTTGAAGTGATTGCTACTGAAGCTTGAACCTTTTGCATGTTTTGATTTTTAATAAAACAGAATTTTTTGAAAGGTATGACTTATAATATAAAAAATATCCTTGATATTAAAATTTCACTTCTATTAATGTTTCCATGAGATTTTTAGTGCATTTACTCATTTATGGAAAAAAGGCGCTATTGTGCTCGCCATGTCTGTCCATCCGTCTGTCTGTCTGTGACTTCATGTTTTCGTTGACTAGAAAATGCGCGCTCTGTCACTCATGCAGTGAGTACCAAGTTATATTTTTCATTTCAATGATGCTGCTTGCAGGCAACTACAACTCAATGACGCTGAGCATTGACGTGAGCCGCTCATGTGGGACAGCAGGGGGCTGCTCCCTCCTGCCCACCGTTACTCTGGCAACGCCCCAGCAGTTGAGGGAGCAACAGCCACAGTGCAAAGCTGTACGCATGTTTAAAGCTGGTTAGTTGCTCTCTTGATTATTCAAAATTACTGATAAGAATAGCATTACAATATACAATACAAAATAGGGAGTCCCAACGTAATGAACAGGTTCCATTCCAGGAGACTGTTCACAAGTCCATTTGTTTGTATGTCCAAAGTATGGCATACAGTAAGTTTTGGTAATTTACAACCGGCTATACTGTGGGACGTGCCAGTAAAAACAATACCTGTACTACTGTAAAACCACTGATGGTTTTTAATGTGCTTTGAATAACCACAGCTTTGTTTGTATGTACCAATGTTTGTATCCTGGGGACTTGGTGTAATGTAATACCTTAGTGCAGAGATGTGCACATGTTCAAAGCTGGTCAGTTGCTGTCTTGATCCTCAAACTCTCAGAAGTATAGTGTGGCATTGCTCAGGATTGATATAATTTATCATAAATTATGGTAAAGCCAATTAAATGTTAATTAAATACAGGCACACATTAAACATAAAACATAGAAAGACCAGTTGATTATTTTGAAATATTAAAACAACTATTCTGCACCTTTTCAATTATTCTAAATTAAATTTATAATCCCAGTATTAAAATCACATTACAGCTTTTGGTCCCATACTCCCGTGTCAGTTTTGCAATGCCTAGCTATTCTCTGACTAACAAGAATATTTCAGTTCTAGTAATATCCTGAAGCAAAGAGTATCCTGGTTATGCACTCAAACTGCTGACACATTTGCACTGCCAGCCTTCAAACACACAAACAAAATAACTTTGACTTTCCACAAATATACATTAGATTGCAGGTCAGAATAGCATTAGAATACAGTTTTGTTGTGCACTTGGACAACAAGCTGATGTTGAGTGTTCAGCTCTTCTAACATCAGGTTGCATAAGGTTCACATTAAGAGTTACGTAATTAATATGCACTGATTTTACTGCAATTGTAAGAAGTTTTTCTCCACAAATTCATTTGATTTTTGTGTAAAACACTTCGATCATATACCATTAATGCACTGAAATTTTAGCTAGTTTTTATATAAAATTAATATTACTTCTGCAAAATATACTATTTGTATATACCGTGCCCAATTTGTGAGCATAGTACAATACTATAATTTACTTAATAATATAATGTTTTTACCCAAAACCATACCTAAGAACTTGGTAATTTTGAAAGTTCTGACTTTGAATATAGTTTATCAAAATTGTTATGAGGTTGTGTGTGATGGTTGCACTATTTTGCCATTTTTGGCCTTAAAATTTCTAACCATTTGGTTTCAAGAGCCCTGTTGAAATTATAATGTCTTTATTATATCTTACAGTATGTTATATCTTGTATATTATATCTTACATTATACACTTACTAATTGAATTCCTCTGGAAGTAATTTATACTTAATTCACTTCTCTACATGATGGCTGAACATATAATAAATGTGTGTGTGCAGATGACTTGAACCAGGCAGCTCTGAAGGAGCGTTGGGACCGGGTGCGTGTGACCTGCACTCAGCCATTCAAGCGGGGCCTGCAGTATGGCTTAGCTTTCTTAAAATTCTACTGCACAGATTCCTTAGACTCGATCTCCTATGATCGTATGAATTCCCTCCCTTCCTTCAATTTTATTGCTTCTGCATCCAATTCTCCTTGTGTGACTGCCAAGACACCGGCTCGGCTTTGTCTTAACTCAGAAAATGACAGAAAATCTTCAGATCAGAAGAAGCTCCTTAATAAACCTGTCCACCATGGACAAGATCATAAATCGACGTCCATCTTCAATATAAAAACATCCAAGCTTATTACGTCTGATAAGGAAATGATCCAGGGATCACCAGAAAACTCTCTAAGAATTACCAACAAAAATAAAGGCACTGCGACCACAGACAACAGTTTTAATCCCCTCAGACACAATAATTACATTGAAAACATTGATCCGTTGCTCACAAGGTCGCCTGCCAGTGGTACTCCTGTGGGTTCTCTGAAGAAAAATCCGCTACAGGAGAGTGGCAAGTCAAGCAGTGCTGCCAGCAGGTTCAGAAGCGCCCTTGAGAAGCTCTGTGCTGAGGGCAAGACTGAACCACCCGTTGTTGTTGCGAGACGTCGGTTCCTGTCCAGGATAACAGCGGCATCCACAGGGGATGGTTGTGCTGATGCTGGACCAAGGTGAAGAACTTCCCAGTGTAGTTACAAGCATCTACTTTATAAAATACAGGACTATGTTTTTTCCTTTGAAGTGTGGTAAACCTAAGATCATTTTTGTTTTCTCAGCATTTGTCAGAATAATTCTTGTTCCCTTATCACTGTTAATATAATTCTTGTATCCTCAGCACTTGTCAGTATAATGCTTGTTTCCTCAGCACTTGTCAGTAAAATTCTTGTTTCCTCAGCACTTGTCAGTATAACTCTTGTTTCCTTATAACTTGTCAGTATAATTCTTGTTTCCTTATCACTTGTTAATATAATATTTATTCGCAGTGCCCCAGCTGCGGCGGAGAGGTCGCGTGGTGCTCGCGATGAGTCCAGCCGCTCGTCAGGTTTGTCGGAGGAGAAACCAGCTGCTTGTATATTTTGAAATGTTTTTTTTTACATTTATTTATCTAGTAAACTTTTCATAACCTTATAGCCAACGGATTTTCAATTATCTTATCGTTGTTTTACTGATCATATCAAGGGAATAATTTTATTTAAACGTGTGTATGTAATCTTTAAATTTATTCATTTTGAGCAAACCATTGGCCAATGCACGCCATCAAGTTCGTGGTTCAGTGGAGATGAAGAATATTATAGTCCATTCTTCCATCTGCCCACTGCCTGGCATCTTGCATGTGTAGTCTAAACGCATTCCTAATATAAGCATTGCGGAATTGTGGAGCTTAATTTGAGCATCGCTACGCACTGGATGAAGACCTATTTGTTTGCATCATGTACCGGTAGGTCTTCTGTTATGTCTGCGCGTGAGTTGAAATCTCAACATTTGGTTTGCCTAATCAGACAAACGCCTTTCACAATGATTGAAATTTTACAAAAATTACCTTCTGTTTGAACGTAGAATTTGTGTGTATGTAGCTAATTGAAGTGCTCACATGTTCCTTTTAATGTGCAGGCGAGTCTCCGAATAACTGGGCTGACCTGCAGCAGGAGTTCGAGTATGAGAGTCTCGAGTTCCTGATCTCGCTTGATCTGCAAGAGAAGCAAATCCTCGAGTTGAGAGTGGCAGGTGAGAGCCTCACCTCCTTAATCTGGCCAGAGGGCAGTACTATTAAAACGCTGTAAGTGCAAGTGGCGGCCTCCATACACATATCATAGTACATGTGGAGGTCCATTTCTCACCTATAATTCCTAATTCTTGGGTTTATCTTGGAGAACGTCATTAATTTGCTACCAGAGTTATGAATTAGTAACTTTTCTTATCTATTTTCCATCTTTTCCTTCACAATTAACTTTGAGTTTTAATGCAATCCTCCATCATTCTCATGACTGCTGGAAGCCGCGATACTCGCGCAAGAAAATCTAGTGTACAGGTGCTGCTGGTTTTTTGACGCATATGATATTTTTCTATTTAGTTGTAAGATAACCTCCGTATCATATTTTGTTTTAAAAGACAGATTATTTATTATTATTTGTACTCGTCTTGTTAACAGATTAGAATATCACTAGTTTGCACTCACAACGTTGGAGAGTTTTTATTCATTTTAATTTATAAGTACTAACAAATAAAGATTTTGATCGATATATAGATTTTTTTATTGCTCGTACTGAGAATAATGTAATATATTCTGTGAGAAATTTGGGGTGTGCAGATGTGCGGATGCAATTCGAGGCATCGCGAGGGGCGCCGCTGTCGCGCCCTCAGCGATGCTGCTTCAAAAACCTGGCGCTGGACTTCTGCGGTCGCCGGCTGAACTGCTCCGACCAGTCGTCTGCTGAAAATCGACTTACGCCTGCCGTTGTTCGACCTTCCTCTGCTAGTGTTTGCCCTTCGTCTGCTGGCAGTAGCACAACCAGCAAAGGGAGCATATCGACTGGAGTTGCTAAGAAATCCAAGTTCACCTTCAAAAAGCTAAACTTCGATGGTCCTGGTGACACTCGGGGTTCACCGACGGGAATGAAGAATAATGGTTTTAATCGCGCGTCTCCAATGCCCTTCAACGACGACCATGCGAGAGCTGATGGGGCAGGGCCAAGCGCACCAAGTCCGAGAAATAACGTGAGTGTAAGCAGGAGCCCTGTAGTTTCCCCATTGTCAAAATCGACGAAGAAGAGAAGGAAAGAAGAACCAAAGCCTGTCGCCAATGGGGAGTGGGTTTCTTCCAAGAGAATCCGGACGAAAGTTAGTAGGAAATCGACAAGCCCAAGCAGAAAAGATGTCGATGTTATTGAAGTCGTGGAATTAAATGACGAAATAGATGAATTTAAGAAACAATGGCCAAGCAAGGATTCGGGGTTTATACGAAATGAGGATGGTTGGATCCAAAGGTTGAAGTCGAGCCAATCTCAAACAATCGACTCTTGGGAATTGTCGGACGTTTCCAGCATTGCATCCAATTCTCCTCCTGGACCAAGCAGTAAGGATAAAGATAAATTCTCCAGTCCAGCTTTCCAGCCCTCTCATAATTCAAATAACTGTGTCGATGAGGAAATTTTAGGCACCAATTCTGGAGTGTTGAGAAATTACACTGCATTAAGCAATAAATTACCTGACGTTGTATGCCCGAGTGACTCATTGGACGAATTGAGCAACGGAACTAACACTGCAGAGAACAGCCAAAGGAACATGGCCGTTAGTAAAAATATCAACACCGACCAAGATTTGCGTTCGATTAACTCGAAGTCAGGGTTCCAGCTTGGTGCAGCACCCGTGGACAAATATGGACTCAATAGTCGGCGGCTGATCAACACCGACGAGGAACAGGAACCTGAAGATCGAGTCGCGTGCCCCCTGTGTGGAGGTGAGCCACTTTTGTGTACTTAAAAACACATGTAAACGCTGGCCATATGTTGATGATATTGAAAGCTGATGTTATGATCATTGTCACTTCGAAATTTCAAGTATAAAGTTCTTGTCATTCGTCTGCCAACCCGTTGTCAAGCATCGTGTGAGCTCAAGCTATCAAGCCCTAAGCCCGAGGTTTTAACCAAAAATTGGCAGAGTTGTTATTTGTTCCCACGTTCGATCAGCTGGAAAAACTTTGGTTGCTCATTTCATGATCTAAGTTATTCATCCTGCGTTCGAATACCTTTTATCTACAGTTTATACTTTTTAGCGCATTTTCTCATTTATGGAAAAATGCCCTATTGTGCTCGTCATGTCCGTCCGTCCGTCTGTCTGTCCGCCCGTAATTTCAAGTTTTCGTCGACGAGAAAATGCGTCTGTCACTCACTCAGTGAGTACTGCGTTATATTTTTTATGGTAATATTGTCTTTTCATGGTCAGTTATGATATTTTACTGATTTGGCAGATAATTTAGGAGTATCTAAAATGTATACACGATCTAATATGTACGGAGATTAGTCTACAAGTTGTATCTGTGGAATTTTTTGTTAATTCAAAGATTTTCTTTCCATGGTTTCGTTGCTGGGGTTAATAACTAATCAATGAAATGCTATTTCAGCAGCAATAGGTTTGATTGTATATTCCCTGCAGGGTTGTTTGTTCAGTCTGCAGTGGAGGAGCACGCGGCAACATGCAGACATGACGACGTCCACTGCGACACTGAGGCAGTGTCAATGGACAGCTGCGAAGCCGAGAATTTGTCAGAACCTTGCCCAGTTTGTCAGAAGCGCTGGCCAAGAAAAGAGTTCGAGTGTCATGTCATCTCCTGCGCTGAGCGAAATTTTGCGCAATAATATCAAGATTTTTAGTACCTGCTTGACAAATTATATGCTTATTTTCTAGCATCAAGTGATCGTCCGGGCTCAGTTTTTACCTATAGATCTACACAATTTTATAATAGATGTATGCAATATTTTTCCTTTTACACGACTCGTTCATTTTATTAAAAATAAATTACCGTACATTTTATTTGGACTAAATTAGTGTAGGAGCTCGTCACTCGTCAAGACGACATTAGTCAAGGAAATATCACTCGTGTATATTCTCCTAATTCGCATACTTGATTGTAGCTCCAAAAATGATGTAACTTAATGAGCACGAACCTGGAAAATTATTGATCGTTTTTAATGCAAATTATTATAAACTTGCAAGGAACTTGAATTATCTGAAGCTGCAAGCATGTAGCGAATAAAGCTCGCGTCTCAGGACACTTCGAAGGATATCATGAAGCCCTGACCAGCGTTGGGATAGATTCTAGAATTTCTTGTTCTGTAGCCTCAATAAGTTTAAGAAGTGAAACAAACTCGGAAAACCGTTATTTAGAGTCGTTTGTCGCGATCAGAATTTCATGGGCAGGGTGGCCCAGTGGTTAAAGTTCAGAGTACCAGGATTGGCGCAGAGAGGCGCGGGTTCGATGTTGCGCCAGTTTATGGTCGGAATCGGCGAGGAGGCCGGGCGGTTAAGCACAGCAGAATTGTAGCAGTGCGTTGCGCGTTCGAGCCCGCAAAATGCTGTGCATGTTCTGCCATGTTGAGAATCGGCGACAGAATAAACGCTGAAACCGCTATATTATAATTATATATAGGTATATAGCTTGTTAGAAAAAAATTCCTATCACAGCTTCCCATTTGATTTTTTCAATAATTGGTAGCGAGGTATAATGTACATGAAAAGTAAGAGATTTGTGTAATATGCATTGCAGCTCAATACCCATAAACATGGTTTTACGAATGACGCAAGCCACAGCGAGAGACGTTTTTTTTTCTCGTTAGGGTCCATTGCAGCTTGAGTCCATGCGTGATGAGAGCTAAGCTACCAACAGGTCTTTTGATAGTAATAAGGTGACAGGAAACTGCAGCAGGCAAAAAAAAATTTTAATACACGGCAATATGACGTCGTGCGTACAAATTCATTTCACACATCAGTGTCACGTACTTTAACTATATTACAAATACAGAATGATCCGCGAGTTTCGTCTCCCAATCAACATTTCATCTTGGCTACTCTTCCTGCTGATAACTTGTGCGAATCCTCACCTCGGCCGCGCGAACGGAGAGTGCGTCTCAGGAGATGCATAAGGATTATTAGTTTTAGCAAATTGTTTTATTTAATTGGATACATTCTTGATGGCCAACACTTGTCAGCCACGAATTACAACGACGGACCGACCGTGATCAAAGTGCATAAAATACTAAACTGCGTAATATTTAATTGAATTCCGGCTTGCGCCAGCCTACAGGCAACATCACAACATGACGTCCACTCTGGCACAGCCACATGACAGCCTACAGGCAACATCACAACATGACGTCAACTCTGGCACAGCCACATGACAGGCAACATCACAACATGACCTAGCGCCTACGACGCAGGTACGCGCATCAGAGAAAGGAATTAAAAGGACAAGAAGGAAAGAACTAAAACTAAAGGAAGTGAAGAGAGAAATACTGACTAAAAGATCAGCAATAATTTTGAGATGTAGATGTAAAAAAATATTCATTGCTGCTCAATTATGTGATCACAATGATGGGATGGAAGCAGATGAATATGGATGGACAATATGTTGAAAAATATTAGATACGCCAGAGAAAATCAAGATGTGCAATCGAATGCAGTTGAAGAATTTCATTAATTAAAAAAAGTGAATCACTTTATAAATGAGCCAGGCAAGGAGTGCAAGGCAGTAGTTGGCAAGATTTTTATGGTTGTATAGCATTGAATAATTGTTAATGTATACTTATTTCCGTCACCAACACATGATATACAAAACGCAGAATATATGTAGCTTCCAGTCAATTGTGAGGTAGAGATTGTGAGCAGCCCACACAGGACTTTCATTCTTGCCCGCAAAGAAAATAGGTCAATTCACTGAAGTATCTAAATTGTTGAGAACTAACCTCACCTGCAGCCTGCGTAAAAAGGCTTACTTGCAGACAAGGCACCTCCAATAAGCTACATCAATTTATAATAGTTGGGTGAATCTACAATGATACATCGTACATTCTTCGCAAGCTGTACATCATAATTCGATTGTTTACACTACACATTAATATTATTTGAACTAAAAGCGTTAATGACTTGGGGAATAATGCCTCATATCATTTGGATGAGCACAAAAGTTGAGTTCCTTTTAAGAAGTTATTAAAAAAAATTAAAAAGCAATTAGTGGTAAGCTTGGCTCTTGCACTGGTCTTACAATTATTAATAATAAGATTCTGGCAAGGTTTTTTTAGTCTGATAATCGCTTGTCATAATATTGTCATGGCTAGTCAGCACCACAAATACCACAGACCCTTGCAATGCAATAGTTCTACATGGCCTGCTAGGCGGTTGCACTACTGTTTCCCTCACAAATGTTTTCACTGTGGTTGCGTAGATAATTAGCTATGAAATCAATAGGGTCACTAGGACGCTCCTTGTTCAGCTTAGTCAAGGCCTGAAGCAAGACCGGCACCACAGTCTGGTCCAGGTACTGCCGGGATGTAAGGCTCGACAGGTCCAAGCGACTTCTTTTCCGTGGCTGTGTAGACCCATTACTGTTGCCAGTTTTACAACTAGAGTTGGAGCTGTCCATTTTGTTGTTGCTGGTCTCTGTTTTGCTGCCATTGCAGTTGTCAGATTTGCTGTTGCTGCTATCCCGTGAAGTTCCATTGCTGTCATTCTCAGCGGAAGATTTGTTGACCTCCATCATTCAGTAGTTTATTACCAAGATTATCTGCAAAATTTAACCACATTATGAGAGATTTATTTACAGCTGCTTAATCTAATTACAGCTGGAAAGGGGATGAGAAACTTTGAACTAATAGCATATAAATTAGGAACAAACGATTCATTATCAATGAACTATATAAACAAATATAAAATATATATACCTAGATCTCAATGACAAGTAAATTAATCAATGATAATGCAAACTTATATGAGCAATTCCATCTTTTTGCAGTATTTTCAAAAATCTTGCTTCATATTACATTTATTTATTGATGATTGATCATCTAGTTGAGCAGATTATTAGTTTTAATTATTTTATTTTTTGCTTTTCATTAAATTTATTTGCATTATACCGTATATCGTATTACAGGTAAGTATTATTTATTATACACAGGTAGGTATATGCAGTACAAGTATTCACAGTATTGAATTGCAAGTAATGATTATATTACCTAACCACCAGTGCAGTGGTGTGCTGTTGTGCATTTACAAATCAATCTGTTATAAATATCAACAATGAAATGAAAAAATTTCATGTTACAACATTCGAAAAATCTGAAATATAAAGAACAGATCGGCAAAAAAGCCTACTGGACAGCATTTGCAGGACTCAATCTAAATAATCCTATGTGCACATGATACAATTGTGTGGTTTAGCTGCCTTAGCGATCCTACATCCACATGAAACAATTGCATGTCTAAGCAATCATGCATACAATCCTTGCTGGTGGCAGCATGGTTGTATACTTGCACCACATGGATATGCAAATATGCATATTAGTTACTTGGTGACCATATGGAAACCCTGTGTGCTGCCAGCAACACAATATTATCTGTGCTATGTGGCTATGCACTTACTTGTATAATCATTTTTGATGGTACATATGTTCAATGTTAGCAGGATGGAATTCTAGAAATGGTTGTTCATATATTACTTTCAATCCATGTAGGCCAGTATTAAGAAACAAAAAAGTTGAAAATATGAAAGGCTGTGTTTAATAATTTGGAAAAAACTCATACTCAATCCCTCAATGCCATATAACATACCTAGTCACCTGAAAATTAAAACAAACATTTGAAAAATGTAGTTGGACTGAGAAGATGCATTACCGTCAACCGGGGCTACTCATGACAATTTTGAACGCGTTTCATTCATAACTTCTTACCATGAAACATTTCATAAACAAGTTTAGGCTCATTTCAAAGCTCTTTGCAAGGGCTATCACATGGCTTCTCCAAAAAAATTCCATATGCTATTCGTAAGGTGCCAGAAGCAAAAAAAGAGTGTCCCGAGTAGCCCCGTCAAACGGGGCAACTCGGGACACTTGGAATAAAACTTCATTTTAAAACATTTGAAGCATGCAGAGTGTACTCATCCATTACTAACAGTACTCTGAAGTCCTCTTCTTTCATTGTAGATGATGTAGAGGTAGAATAAATTACATTTTCTGTGATTTTTACTTGTTTTTCCTTTATTGATATGATATTACCATATACATTAATTACCATATTATTGATGTGATATTACTGTATCCATGAACAGGCCATTGAACATTTCAACTACCTTGTCCACTGCAAGCTTCATATTACAGCCTTATAGCATTTTTTCTGTATCTGTAAGCTTACAGGACGGCTTGTAATTTCACACCATTTTAATTGGGTTAAGTGAATTTACTATAAAACAAGATCATGAAAAACATACCTGAAACAGAAAGGAATGTTTTAGAGACAACCATCATATGTTTTGGAGAAATAAATCATAGTTTAGGTCAATTACTTTCCATTCTATGATGCCTTGTGCACAATTCCATATATAACATTCTATGCACAATTTTATGATGACCGATGATGCACTAATTTTTCGATAAGTGAAATTTTTTTCACTGAACAAGGTAAATGTAATCAATATCTTTTGTTTTTAATCAATTTCTTTCCTTAACTGGAGCCTTTGCTAACTGAGGTTCTACTGTAAATGCGTTTTTGGGGGTTTCCCGAATAGCCCTGGGGGGGAGGGTGCCCCGAGTAGCCCCGTTGGGCGGAAATGGACGCATTTTTTTTTTTGATTGGGGTATGTATATTCCGTAAATAAAGTTTTCATGCTGACACATGTCTGCCACTTTTTTCTAAGCGAAATTTTTTAATATGGCAAATATTTTTTCTACTACAGACCTTAGCAGAAGTAACTTTTCAAAATATTGTTTTCCACCATTTTTTCAGGAATTTTTCAAAGCTGTAGTATTGTAGTATTGTACAGTAGTATTTCTGTGTATGTAGTATGTAGTATTTTTGTGTATGTAGTATTTTTGAACTTCCTTTATACTAAATAGAAAGGAAAAATGTTGACGTTTACGCCACTATATTCAGTTTTGTAATATTCCAATTAGTTTTGCTACTAAAACAGTTTTACACCATGTCGGAGGACTGTCCTGAGTTACCCCGCCTGCCTGAGTAGCCCCGGTTGACGGTAAACTTACATCACATGAATTCCTCCATTACTAGTCTGCAATTAGTTTATTAGTGAGAAGTTTTCTATGAGTTACAGGCTTACAGCATAAGAGAAAATTATTATAAAATAAAATTACAGCTCCACAATTTTATTTCATGATATTCAGCAATAATATTATTTATTAATTTTTGTAAAATTTAATAAGAAGTGATGCACATTTTAGGTTTAGAATGGCCCACAAAACATTTCTAAAAATAATTGCTTTATGATGCATTGCATGTGGCAGCACACATAATGCGTATTGCGCTGAAGTGGGCCACTGGCCGCAGAACGCTAGCTATAAGCCTATATTGTACCATAGGGTATTGTCTTACTTCTACATGATGCCTCCTAATATCATGTGTTTTCTCCCTTAGAAAGCCCTTCTTGGCTTTCAGGCCAGTGACATTCTTCCAACATCTTTGTGTGACTAGTAGGAAAAATCTTTTATGGTCCAGTCTAGTTGTTCGCCACTACCAAGGAAATTTACCCATTCCATCCTGGTTGATGAGGAAAGAGCTCAATTTATACCATTCCAACAAGAACAATAGTCGGCAGATTGGCATCTCTGTTCTGCACCCTTGCTACTTGCCAGCAACTTCTCAGAGAAAGTCAAGCAATGTGGCAGGATACTTTGTTGAGTTTTGCTCTGGAAATATTAGAGAGACTCAGGCTTACTTGAAGTTGAAGCAGGAAGAGTGGCTTGAGTCTTAGAATCTTAGGTGCACAATTTGGATTTAGAAAATGACAATGCATAAAAGGAAATTTCACTTCCCCAACAGACGTACTAAAATTTTGAACATGCGTGGTGTTACCCTATGGCAAATGAGTGCGGATTTGGAGGAATATCTATATTTAACCACAAAATTGGGTAATTCTCTTGCAATATCATGTATCACTTTCACAGAACTAAAAATATTGTTGCACGATGATGCAAGACTGACATACACAGGTTTTGTAGTGAACTCACAACCTGTGTTGCGCTGCATCCGGTGGAATAGTCGTTTGTACTTCAGGAAATGTTTACAATTTCTAAATCATGGATGGCAATGCTTTTACATAATAGATTATACATTTATACAAGACACAAATAAAAATAAAGACTGGAAATATTATTTAGCATTTTATTGATCCTTTAATGATTTGTTTAGTAGAACAAAACTTAGTTAATTATGAAATACTTTGAAAACTCAGTGTTGCTTCAAAATTTTGAAAATATCAGTTGCATCACATAGCCTGGTAGCCACACAAACAGTAGTAAATAAAGGCAACCTTGTCTCTTGGTAGATTCAAGTTCAAGTGCAAAGTTGCCAAGTAGTATTTTTACTGTGGTGAGCAGGGAGCACAGCCAGTCATTCACGCATTGGTTGCGTTCACGTAAGATTTTTTCTCAAGCTCTAATAGTACGAGTGAGCATGAACATTGTGCCAGGTCTACTAGTTGCTGTGCCAGCTGCGGTTTGTGGTGCGCTGTGCACAGTGCACGTCTGGTATTCAGCTGAGCTGATGCTTGTCACTCATTCCTTCTTCCCTGGAACTTTCTGTGGATTTTGTTTCTCGGATTGTGTGATGGAGTTGAGTTTGAAAATTAATTACATTAATATTTTAAGCTTCCTGCGAAATTTGTGACAATTTCAGCAGCCTAAACATCCTGCGGAGTTCATCAACAGACATACTAGTTCATCTGGGCACACTGGGGTGAAGAGTCCCACGCCAGGGCAGAGGATCCCACTCCAGGGCAGAGAGTCGCACACCAGGGCAGAGAGTTGCACACCAGGGCAGAGAGTCCCACACCAGGGCAGAGAGTCCCACACCAGGGCAGAGAGTCCCACTCCAGGGCAGAGAGCCCCACACCAGGGCAGAGAGTCTCACTCCAGGGCAGAGAGCCCCACACCAGGGCAGAGAGTCCCACTCCAGGAGGAGGTTCCTGGGGGCACTAACCACTCACACTCACCTGGGGGCACTAACCACTCACCTGGGGGCACTAACCACTCACCTGGGGGCACTAACCACTCACCTGGGGGGCACTAACCACTCACCTGGGGGCACCAACCGGCAACCACTCACCTGGGGGGCACTAACCATAAACCCAGGGCCCCAGGGGTACTAACCACACATGGAGACATCTTAAAATCTTTGTAACAAAATTTGGCAGTAGAAGTCGGGAGCATTTATAGATGTTCAGGAGTTAAACTTCACTTTAGCTGGTCGTACCATGGCATCCGCCGGCTCAACGCCTCGGAGCGGGACAGCACGGCATTTTCAAAGTTTGAGAAAGATAGTTCCAGAAAGATAACGTAGCAGCCGGCTGAAGAAAGCTACTGTCACGGGAGCTCAGCACAAAGAACCTCTTGCCTCAACGGTTAGAACAGAACCACTGTGGACAAGGTGTCATTCATGTTGCCAAGATCGCCCTCTCAAGCTCAAAATGTTGCCATTGTCATTGGAGATCTGTTGCCAGAGCATGATTAGCCACTTATGTTTGTCAGCCAAAAAAATCAATAAGCCATAATTAGGCCTATTTTGTCAACAGAACACAGTAACTAGTGAAACAACAATCTACATTATCTACTATGATCGGGCTCGATAATTGCATGGGTTACAGTGCGCCGGGAATTTAGGGAAAACTGCCATGATAAATGAGCTCAGTAAGATATTTGTACCAATTTAATTGGGAATTCCATTTAAAAAAAATAGAAATTCAGAATAGAATTAGGCCAATTCTATTTTATAACAAAGAAATTCAGACCTGACAAGGATTTATGGGTCGGTAGGTACAATGGAAGGAACATGTGATGATGCAAAAATAACTATGATATGAGCAGTGAAATTTACACACTGACACTGATGCTAGGCATAAGCCGCCACTGTCCAAGTTGATTCATCCGCATTTGAATACTGCTTGACTCCATTCATTCATCCAACTAAGTTACTAACTAAATTCATATCGTTAAACAAAACCTTTTCATTCAATATAGAAGAATACATTTATACTCAGCTGGTCAGCTGAGACTCAGTGAGAGGAGTCTCTGGAAGCAGAGTCACCGAAGGTGAATTTATAAATTTGTTAAAAATTATTTTAGGGTGAATTTGTCGCCAATATCTTCTGAAGGCACATAATTAGCTGATAATTAGTCACCAAAGATATTTGAATATTCTGACACTTTGTCCACAGTGGGAACAGAACTCCCCATACTGAGTCAGGTGGATAGCTAGAGGTCAGCATAGCCCAAGTCCACAGTGCGATTCATATACTTTCCCGAGCGTAATGCAGGTTATGCAGCCGGGCATCTTCATGGCTTTGGACAAAAAGCGCCCACAACAACAGTGGTACAGCGCCGTTCAGTCACAGGCTGGAGCGCATACAGGCCGGAGCCCAACTGGCCGGAGCGCAGCAGGCCCTACCGTAACAACTACTCCTAACGTAATGTAACCCAACCTGCGCCGCCAGCCACCTGTTGCGCTCGGCGGCTCCAGCCAGTTGGGCTCCGGCTCTGTGAACTTGTGAAGCAATGGCTGTGTTGTGCAAAGCGGATTTACTGTTAGCCAGAGTTACCTACAGCTCATTGATCTGAGGCTATATGTAGATATTGCATGCTGATGTTTGGAGTTGGGCCCAGGGCCTGTTTACGAGTTTATTTGTTACCCACGGCTGCACTACCCCCGAGTCAGTAGTCACGACAGCGGGTGCGCAGCCGTAGACCAGCAAATTAACGCTCAAATCAGCCCTGGAGCCAACATCAACCATCTGAATGCTATAGATATTGTCATCCTGGCATCTAAGCAGCTAAGCACACAAGCTGCTCCTCCACATAGTTAATGGTCAATACATTGTTCTCCAATGCTTTATAACCCATACCATCACTTCTTACACATGCTGTTATCCTAAGTGTCCGCTGACCACACTGCATTGCCGCAAATGTGATCTGTACCAAACGGTACTGCGTCATCGCCTTACTTACTCCGCAAGACGTTAACTCCACGTCACTGTTTCCCTGCCTTACTAGTTACTATCCCCCAGCATCTTCTTCCCCCCCACTTACCCCGACTCTCCACCATTATCGCATGGCTAACCGGAGGCTTATCTTGCAAACCTTTAATGCTTATCCAAATTAGGTTAGGTTAGGTTACAACTCGTATAGATCCTCTTTTCATAGCGTAATGCAGTCAAGTGAGTAGAAACTAAGAAAAGCCATCTGGCAGTCGGTGAAAAAAGGCAGGGAGACGGGGTAAGCGTGGAGGTAGAGTTATGCCGGGGGGAAACAGCTGCGACAAACGGACGGGCTGGAGTGCTGGCTGTGTATCAACAGCGGTATGGCGTAGGGAGCTGCTTACCAAAAATCGTGAGGAGGTTAGACGGCATGGGATAGAGCTGTTAGGCGGTTTTAAATACGGCGTAAAGCGATTGTTGTTGTTATCCGTTTTGAGGTGACTGGTGTGGCTCTCAACAGGGCACTTGTTGCACCTGGATTAATCAAAATATCTTCAACAGTTTTCCATTAGGTCAGGGTGATGTCACAGGAAAATATTGCTGTTCTTTCAGAGGCTGTTTAGGCGTCCTGTACTCTTGATGTACGCAACTGTGGCCTTTACTATTGCAAATTGGGCACTTTGTGGGAAGTCTCCTCCACCCAGCAGGTCACGGACTGTAAGAGGATCTATACCGTAGGTGGCCACCGCATTTTCCAGCAGCCGCCGAGCTTCCCGATGCAATCCACAGATGAGAAGGTAGTGCTCAATTGTATCTTCCACATTGCAGTTGCCACACATTGGAGAGGGTGACATACCAAAGCGAAATAAATATGCACCAAGGCCTACATGGCCCAGGCGGAGTCGGGCCAGGACTACCGCAGCTCTACGGGTAGGTGCAACCACCCATGGGACAGGAGACAAGTTGCTGCGTATTGTGGTCAGGTGGACTCCCTTTCTATTTGCATTTACCTCCATCATCCACAAATCTTGCCAGCGCTTGCGCAATCCTCTTCGTAGGCAGCTCTGGAGATCTGATTGCTCAATGTGTGAGAGTACCGAGAAGTCGAGTGAGTGACCCAGCTGTGCAACCTTGTCAGCCACTTCGTTGCCATGTATTCCAGCATGGCCTTTTACCCACTGCAGGTCAACAGTCACCCCAGGTGTAGACTGCAGAGCCAGTAAGCGTGCACGGATCTCAAATACAATAGAAGTGCAAGATGTGCTTGGGGATCCTATTAGTTGCAAGCCTGACTTGGAATTAGAACATATCACCCACTGTGCTGGCGCCCTCTCAGATATCATGACAAGGGCCTGCAGAATAGCATAAAGTTTGGCAAAAAGTATACCATGCATCGGGCGGAGGCGCCAAGCCACAGCCCGAGCCTCATCCGGCATAAATATTTCACAGGCAGTTGATGAGTTGTCTCCCAGCCGTGAGCCATCACAGAAGATTTTGCGGTGGTGTGGGTAATTTTCCTTCATGTGCGTCTTGAATCCGTAAGCAAGATCAATACCTCCAGGTAATTGAGGGTCAATGCAGGCCTTTGGTTGTATAGGAGACCAGGGGGGGATTGGGTCAACCTGTGCCAGATGGGAGCGCCGGCATCTTGGTTCTCCAAACTGCTGCAGCAGTCCTGCTCCTGCTGCCAGAGCAGATGTGTCAACTTCAGGTCCATGACTCAGTATTTCTGCCGTGATGTCACCTCTGGGGCGGTGCATGATTTTCAAATGCCACTGTGCTCCAAGGAACTCGCGTCGCAATGATAAGGGAGGCACCCGTGCTTCCACCTGCAATGATATGATGGGGCTGGTTTTCCTTGCCCCCAGAATGAGTCAAAGACAGGTATTTTGGATAACATCCAGTGTTCTTAAAAGGTTGGGGGAGGCAGCTGCATATAGAGGACTGCCGTAATCTACCTTAGCACGTATATATGCAAGATAGAAGGTGCGCAGGAATTTAGCACTTGCACCCCAGTTTGGAGATGCTAAATGTTTCATTATCCCAATGCGCTTCAATACATCACTTCTGAGGGCTGTGATGTGAGGACCCCATCGGAGTCGCGGGGCGTCGAGTATCATTCCCAGTACCCTATGCTGCCGCACATAGCGCAGAGGATGATGGTTGTACCTCAATACTGGGATATTGATTCGCTTTTTCGTGAAGTATTGGAAAGTTGTTTTTTCCACATTAACTGCAAGGCCCCAAGTGTCACAGAAGTTCAGGAGAAGGTCAAGGTATTGTTGAATAGTGCATTTCGTTTCAATCAAGGTGGGGCTCTGGCATGCTATTGTTATGTCATTTGCATAGATATGAGTGGAGACTCCGGGTAGCTGTGGGAGATCCCTGAGCATAAGATTGAATAGCAGTGGGCTGAGCACCGAGCCCTGGGGCAGGCCTGATGCCAAGAGACATGTGTCTGATAATACCCCCCGCAGTCTGACTTTCACCTTGCGATCCATTAAATAGTTATGTAGCCATCTTGCTAAAGGGCCAGAAATCCCTGCAAGAGCTATTTTATATAGCAAACCAGGTATCCAAACCTTGTCAAATGCAGATTTCAGGTCTACATGTATCACAATGCAAATGTTCCCAGAATCAAGCGCTTGGCGTATATGATGCTCTAGACAGTAGAGGGCATCCATGGTACTCTTGCCCTGCCGGAAGCCACATTAGCTAGGGGAGAGTAGTCCTTGTTTCTCCACAATGTAGTCAAGACGCCGTGCAACAAGGCGTTCCATTAACTTTGCCATGCAAGAAAGCAGAGTAATAGGGCGGTACGACTGAACAAAGGCAGGGTCCTTGCCAGGCTTGAGGATTGGCAGGACGAGACCTTCTTTCCAACTGTGGGGGATCACACCAGTCTGTAGACTTTGGTTGAATAGGTCAAGGAGAAGAGGATGAAGGGTATTTGGGAGAGCTTTCAAAAATGCATTGTGCACAGTATCTGAGCCAGGGCTGGTCATTTTCAAGCGTTTCATTCCGTAGGCAAGTTCTGCAGTGGTAAAGTCTGAGCTATACTCTGAGTCCATTGACCAGCTGCTATGAATTTGCTCCCAGAGATCTTCAGGAGGATAAACAAGATTGGGTTGAGCAGTTTCTTGTAGATTATGGACAATGAGGTTAGCACGCTCTTCTGCTGTAACCAGTAGGAGTCCATTATGCACTAGTGGGAAGGATGTGTTGGTGGTCTGTGCCCGCATCATACGTATTTTCTTCCATGCACTTGATATTGTAGTTGTATAAGAGATAGATTCAATAAACTGTCTTATGTAGGTTTGTTTATGCTGACGGATGCAGTACCTTGCCTCGGCACACTTCTTATATTCTATCAGCATTGCTTGGGAGTGATGTCGTTGCAAGCTTCGAAGTGCTCTCCGGCGGGCCCTCACTTTCTCTCTGCATTCATCATCCCACCATGGTGTAGATGGCCTTGTGAAGGGATGTCCTGAGGAGCGAGGAATGCTTATGTTTGCGGCATCAAGTATTCTCTGTGAGACATCCTGGCTCAGCTCATCCACAGATGTTGGGCATATAAGTTTGGACGGAGCGACAGCTCCTGCAAAAGAGGTTAAGGACTGGCTCCCAATCTTCCAACGGGGGACTGGCGCATCCTGCATCCACAATAATGGCAGAGGTGCTGCAGCACAGAGGGAAGTGGTCACTGCCAACATCCTGTAGTAGTTTTAGTTCAAAGAGTGGTGCAATGTCAGCAGAAACAAGGACCAAGTCCAGGCACCCCCTCGCTCCACTGCGTCTGTCAATATATGTATAGAAGTCTGTGTCATTTAGTAATACTGCAGAGGTGTTCATTATGAGGTCCTCCAAAGAGCGTCCTGCTACATCTGGGCGCAAGCAATTGGAGGAAAGCAGACTATGATGTGCATTAAAGTCCCCTACTATAATGAATGTGGGGGACAGTTGATTTACATAAAAAGATATTTCATTATATGTCATTGGTTTGTTTGGATTGTATACATTCATGATGGTGATGTGACTATTGTCTCTAAGGCAGAGCCTGATGGCCTGAACTTCCAGGTAGCCTGCCGGGTACCTATGTAGGGATATTTCTTGAGCACATAAAGATCTCTTGACTAAGGTGCACAGGCCTCCTCCTCGACCATCTCTGTGACACCAGAATGGGGTGTAGCCATGAAATGTTGGTAAATAATTATTTTGAGTCCAAGTTTCTGAGAGGCACATGATGCTTGGTTTCTGGGAGTACAGCAACAGTTTTATTTCTGCAAGATGTGGGTAGATGCTATTGCAGTTAAGTGAGATTATTGAGAACTCAGACAACTGTGTGGATGCCATTAGTTGCTTTTACCTTTCTGCTGGGACAGCTGGGTTTTCTTTTTCCTTTGGATTGGGGGGGCTACTGTTGAAGGGAGGCCAGCAGAGCTCAGATTGCTAGACTGTGTCTCATTCTTCTTCCCTGCTTTGCTGCGGGTTACACATTCAGAGGCTACAGACTTGGCAGGGGAAGGAGCTCTTGAAGGAAGCTCTACATGATCAGGCTCAGAGCCAGAGACAAGTTCAAAATCAGATACATCTAAGTAGGATGAAAGGTCCTCTGTAGCAGAGCAAACATCATTAGCAGAGGGAGACATAGCAGGGGCAGCATCTACAATTGGGCTCCGGTTTCTCGGAGATCTTTTGTTAGATTTGCAGGATGCTGGGGGTGATGGCGCAGCTGATGGTAGGTCTACACCAAAGTGCTTTTGCATTGCAGTCCGAATCAGGGAATGAGATTTATCCCGGGATTCTTGATGCAGGGGCAATGATAGTAGGTCCACAAGGAATCTGCCAAGACGCTCAAAGAAATCAGTGCTTTCAATGAGCCTTGGGTGTTCATTTGGGGCTGGCAGCAGAAAGGGATGTGTATGAGGGGATTTGTGTTGACCTGCTGGAATAGTAGATTGACTCATTTGGCGGGGGGTGGCTGCAACTGAGCAGTAAGTTTGGGTGTTAGTCAAAGGAATGACTGTGTCCATAGCCTGGCTGTTCATTCTATGGTGGACGGTTGCATGGGTAATATGCTTAACAAGGCCAGTACCTGGCTGTTCTCCTTGACCTCTCCACCTGCCTGTGTTTTCTTTGGCATGGTTTTGGGGTGGGTTGGCCCATTGGTCTCTTCTGTTATTGCTCCGCTTAATAGCTGGGTACTTACTGAAATCTGCTATTCTATGATTCTGGGTGCTTGGAGGGACCTCCACATTTGGTGCAGTCACATGTGCTGTTTTGCGTGGGCGTATAGGGCACTCCGAAAAGTTGGCCTTGTGAGGACCTCCACAGTTGGCACAGGTGTGAACACTGCTGCTGCAGACTCGGTAACTGTGTGGTCCTGCACATAATAGGCATCGCTCCCTGCTGGTACAACCCTCAGCTGCATGTCCATATCTCTGACATTTGTAGCACTGGAGTGGTGGAAACTCATATGGGCGCACTGTGTAGGATATAAAGCCAATTTTTATTTTCTTAGGGAGAATATCTGACTCAATAGTGAGTCTCAATGAGCTTGAAGGCACCTGCCTGGTACCTTCATGGCGCTTCAGGCGCTCGATATTTATAACTTTAAAGTTACATTCATTCCTTAGTTGTCTTTGAATTTCTTCTATTTCTACATCTGGGTCAATTGGGGAAACTACATATATTGATATTTGCCTTTTGATGGTAATGCACATGTCACATTCCATGTTCCTATTTTTTTTAAGTTGAGGAAGAAGTTTATTTGGTCTTTATCATTTCTTTCAAGTTCAATAGCAAGGAGTTGTCGTCGCATATTCACACGTACATCAGATATGCCTATCTTATTGTAGGGTGGAGTTTCAAGTATCTTACAGAGTTTTGCAGGCGATGTCAGAATCTTGCGGTCTTCTGCGGAGACTGGGCGGACCAATATCACTCGGCCGTCAAGGTTCTGATTTGTAACAGTATCATGAAGTTCAGAAAGAGAAACTGGAAGAGGATCAGGCATGGCTAGAGATGATGGCCTGATGGGAGATGGGTTTCTTGTTCGCAGTGGCCTAAGTTCCGTTGTGGTGCATTCTTCTTACTTCTCACAGGTTGTTGCTCCTCCAAAAAAGATCCCCTCCTCTTCTGGCCAACCAAAACACTTGCATTTTCCATAGCTTCATGGGAGTTTCCTGGCATAGTGGCAAACCAGAGCTCTTTTAGAATCAGTTCATTTTTAATTTACTCATTTACTCGAGATTTAATCAAATGTCTTAAGTATTATAATGTTGGTATCCAGGATACTTTACTGGTCTACTTATAGGACTCAAAAATGAACTTGAGGGAGAGTCTAAAAAACTCTCTGCTTTGCCACTATGTTTCCTGGTATGTCAATTGTCATTTTCCATTGTAACAGTAACACTAGTAGGACTAGGTTCTGTTTCCAGGAAATGCTGTAGCTGTGATGTAGTGAGATTTTCTATTGTTGAGTCAGCTCCGGGATCAATCAAGTCTGCGGCACTCGCCGTGGCCCGTGCCTTCTTTCATTTTTTTCCACTTTCCTACCACACACACAACACAAGGTTAGATGAATGAGGTTTCAAGTAAGATGATTGCACAATCTAATTTGAATATCAATATGGATTTTCGTAAATGCCGGTTTCAAAGCAGGAGCTTTTTATGATCAACCACTCACTACCACAGTTCAAACGAGACTCTGTAGAGCGATTGTATTGGTGGCTTGCTTCTCATTAGCTCGATGGTTAAT